ATTTGGATCATTATGGAGATGCTCTTTTTGATCTATAATCAGTCAGCAAGCTTTTCTGAAAAGGGCAAGATAATAAATATTTCAGGCTGTGCGAGCTATACAGTCTCTTATTAGTCAATTCTGCTGTTAAACGAGTGTGAAAGCAGCTATTGACAATATGTAAATGAATGGGTGTAGCTGTGGCCCAGTAAAACTTTATATATAAAAACAGATGGAGGGCTGAATTTGTCCCACAGGTCATAGTTGTTGACCCTAATCCCAAGTTCAATTTGTATAAGACCCTCTAACCTCTGATCCATATCTTTTCTGTTTTTTAATTTACGTAATTCATTTTTAAAGCAAAAAGATGTTCATATGTATGATTGTATGTATTTGTATAACCTAAAGCTATATATTTTGTTGTCTTGAAAGAAAGTAGATACAATTTTCCTGGAGTCTGTTCAGGTTTCAGGATGATACGACTATCATGAAAGGTAGTGTGTGTTGGGGGAGGTGGATATGCCCTCAGCCGTTATATCCTCGCCTCGTCATTTGATGCCGTAATTCCAGATTCCCCGTGTAAAAGGATGGTCTGTGTGGTGTCAGATATTATATTCTCTCCACGTTCTGCCTGCCCATTGACCCTTGGACCAGGACTCTGGATTGCTGGAGCTGCAGAAATTCATTCACTTGGGTACTTTTAGAGCTCTGTGACAAGAATATGAAAGAATTTCTGATCTTTGTGCTGCAGAACCCAATCTTCTGAAAAATTCTAAGCAAAAGAAAATGGGTTATGTGCCTCATTTGCCATTTGCAGCCACTATTCCTATTGCCTACAGGCAGCCACTGTAGAAGGGTCCTGTCCCTGTTACTTCTAGAACATCCTAAGGCTGAGGAGTGCAGACAAAAGATATGTCCAAAAGGAGAGTTCCCTTTCTCTTTTCTTTCATAATTCTCCTCAATTCCTTTAAAAGTCAGTAGCATTATTTCAGAATGTCAATATGCATCATTTTTCCATTAAAGCGTACCTCAGCCTTACACTTTCACTATTTAACAACTAATCCGTTTCAAACTAGGTTTCAGCCCAGCAATTACAGAACTCATAAAATTGTCCATGAAATTACTTAACACCACATTACTAGCATATGCATTGCAATGTGCCATTCTGACACATAATAGATTTTTCACTAAGAAGTTTATCAAATATTTCACTATTTTTGGAAAATCTAGAGGAGGGGAAGCCTATATTCAGAATGATAGAGGAAACAGAGATTGTCTCTTCCACATGATATGAGCTGTCATTCTAGGTCCAACATACTATAAGGTTGCCTCAGCTCAGTGTGAATGTAAGTGTGAATACTCAAGCACATATACCCACATACATACATACCAATGCGCAGATTTTAAACATAATTGCAAATGTCTTTCAGCTGTTTGAATTCCACAGAAGTCTACTGCAAGTTGTATACCAGAAAACCTCATGAAGATAAGCTCAGCTCTTTTTTGGGAAAAGTTATTTTTTTAGAAAATTTAGAATTTTTTGCTGAATTAATTAAGTAAAGTATCCCCAATTTTAATTACTGGATTTGGAAGTTGAAATGCCATTCTTCAATCTCACTGGTCTCAAATTCACTGATAAAAATTTTTCCCTAAACTAATACGTGGGGTAAAATATAACCTCCTAAATTGGTACCCACTGGCTGCTCCTGAACTGGTTTCTAGTCATGTCCTCCATTATGTGATTTTTACAAATTGAAGGTAATATTGTATATTAAAGTTCAAATAAAGATGTTCTTTAAGTGAAATATCTTTGTTTATCCTTCATTTTTATCCACTGATGTCAAACAGTTTCATCTCTTCCTGTCTACGAAAGAGCAACTTTGGGTTTTATAGTAACTGGTAGTCTTCAGTCTCTCATTCATAGTTTTTCTTTTGGATCAACTAATCTCTACATTTCTTGATGTTGTAAAAATTGAAGAGCATGCTTA